ATTGTAATGGTGAAGTCATAAAGGACCCTAATCTATCTGAAGAGATGATTATTATTGTTTGTACATGTGATATCTTGAAACAATGACTACACAATAATAAACTGTATTGAGCGTTTTCTGTACTGTTTTCGTACAAAAAAATTCAAACGGCATTTATAAGTATAAATTAAAAAAATAAGCAAGCAAGCAAGCACTTTTGTAGCATAATTTGTTCACACAACTACTACAAAGTAATGTATACTTGTATAAAAAGATAGCGTAGAATGATTAAATCTTTTTCCTTGATCTTAAAAAAACGGACGTAAAATAATAAGATTTTCTTACATATTTATGCACGTTTTTCACCAATATTTACCTGCTCTATAACAGTCAACGAATTATATAATATTTTTTTGAATTTAGTTTTCATTTTAATCATAAAGTGTAGGTACATTCTAAAAGGGATTAGGAATATTCCAAACGATTGTAAAAGAAAATGCGCATAAATAAACTTATATTCTACGGATTGTTTAGTAAAATGACAAAGTTTCTCTAATTTCCACAGCCAATTGATTAAAAGAGATATTTGTTGTGTTTCTATAATAGCTATGATTGAAAAAGGCACACTGTGATAACACAGAAAGAAATCGATAAAGATTGAGTAAACCTATCAGACATTTTAAGTTACAGGGCATTGATAGCTGCTAATTAATTGTATGCTAACTAATCACGCCCTGTGAACTAACTGGAGATGAACCATTGACTATTGGATACTGAAGTACACTTCCCATCTATTTGGACCAGCTGTAGCCAATTCTTTATTACAAGAGAATGTAGTTGTGTGAGCTAGTCACAGCAGAATGCTCTAGTGTCTAAAATTATATTTTATACCTTATTTCTTGTTGCTGACCAGGTTGATGGGTCATAACAGTTGCTCATCATAGGTAACTCATCATAAGTAAGTCCTCAAGTTTGTCTTGGTTAAAAAGATTGTGTATTCGGCAGAATTTTAGTAATTTAGATCAGCGCAATCTGTAGGTGGCTCACATCAACTACGACGATTATAATAAAAAATCTGGCTACAAATTTAACATGGGGATGGAATGTCTAAACCTATTTACCATTACATTTTGAGGTATATGTAACTTAACTTAGGTGCTGTCCATTTTTGTTGAAATGCCCATTACCCACCAAGAACTTGTGAACTGTTATTTATAAAGATTCGTCTTAGTGCCTATTACTGAATTCCATTTGAATAGTTATTAGTAGATAGTATATAACGAGTATTACAATTTTACTGCCATCACATATACATGTTTAAACCTATGGAGCTATTATAGTAAACTAACCAAACTTTATAAAAATTTCTTTCACATAAAATAATATAAATTATACAATATGATCCAATTTAACACAATTCAGAGTACCAGGTAGCAGTTATAACCACAGCTTATAAAACCATGACCAGCATTAATATTTGAAACTTTAAATAGAGGATACGTATTATAAATTTGATTTAAAATGTTTCTCCTACTTATGCTAAAAAGACAGGAAGAAGGAAGGAAGTTGAGCAAGTTTGAGTGGTGTTTTGTTGTTAACGGATGTTCAACTTTGTAACAATGTTATGAAATTAAAGACATTTCATACTAACTTTCAACAAGTTTTACTCCCAGATAATAGCTTTAAAACCCTGTTACCTTGAAAGATACAGCTAAGACTATAGAAACGTTTGAAAATATAGGCCTATGTCCTTCCTGAAGTTACCTATCTGGTGTTTAATCGTATTATAAGATATTGAAGTTGTCTATTGTATTTCTAATATATGAGGTTGATTTATGTAATATTGATATCGTAGAAGATATTGCACCTTTTATTGTACAAGTCTAAGGATAAAACATTCATAATTCATAAACCGTTGCCACAGGCCGGCGGAGTAATCTTGCCTTGGTGTGTTCTTGTTATTTATACAGGAGCTTTGGATCTTGGCTTGGCGCGGACCCAGGTCGTACATTGTATTCTAGATTACCTTCCACAAATCCCTCAAGGAAACTTATTTAATGATAATTTATTATACTATTAGTTCAAGTGTCAACTATATCTATACCGTAATATTATATTAAAAATAAGATTCAATATGCTAAAACTTTGTTACGCACTAATTTGCTAACGATAGATCATAGTAATCTAATGATAAAACATAGTCTCTATATTATGAAAATAAATCACAGTATTGGTTATTATGTAATAACAAATACGAGCTGTTGGCCCGTCCTACGTACGGGAATCGAGTTGTCCATAAAAACCGTATATAGTGTGTCTATTACGGTTTTATTACGGAATTATGCTAATTCAAGCATACTCTAAGCAGTTCAAAATTTATAGCAAAGAAAAAGCTTCCAAGATGAAATAAAACATGTGATCATTGTTATTTCCCCAACCTTTCCTCAAAAAGTCAAGTAGTAAAATAATTTTCATAAGCTTCATTTTGAAGATTTGTGAGCTTAGATTATTCGTATACAGCAATGGTTATAGAATCTTACTTATTTCCTATAATCGATGACAAAATAACAGAGCAAATAAACTAACCTCATAGTTTTATGGAATATTTTTTTATTCAACCAGCTGTTAGTTATAACAAATTATATTTCACTAAAACAAACTAAATATTTTAAAGACTGTTCAAAAAAATAAATTAGAACATCTAGTATTTTACTCTGTATATTTAAATAAACTCTCATCCTCTTACCGAATAAATGAACTTATAAATTATTATGGCATTACACATAGTATTAATAAGTCAACCCTACGTTTGTCATTTCATTTTTATCCAAACGCTGAATTTGTATCCCAAACTCTGAATGTTTACAGCTGTTACGTTAAGCAAATGATAATACCCAGAGCTAGTCTAGAACGTTAGCGTCGGCTGCTATACTTTTAAAAAATTAAAACCTAATTTATAAAAAATGGGACTCTAAACTAAATTTATGGCTTCGACATTCCCTAGTTTTCAAAATTATCTTTCTTTCAACACAAAAATCATGAAAATCCGTCAAGTGGTTGATTCAGAATCGTGAAATTAAAAAACCCTGTCACGTTTTAATATTATAGATCTTGATACTAAGCAAGGATTGTGATGAATTAAAATGGTCAATAAATCTTCCTGTTTAACTTAATCTATACAAATGAATTGTTGTAGGTGATAGATTCAACTTTGGATTACACATTAAAACATGAGTTTATGTAAAAAAATAAAGTATACTATAGCTATTTAATGAACAGAACAAATTAGGCATGCAAGAATACTTAAATTTATATTCCTAATGTGTTATCATCCTAATTTTGATCATTCGTAAGCGTTGATTGAAATTATTAAATTATTTTAAACTTATTATGTATTTTAAATATCTTACCATACAGCAGGTCAAGGCTAAAAATTGGCTTAGGTACATAAAGAGCAATGGTAGAGATGTCTTAACCATAACGAGATACGTCAACAAATAATAACGATAATGGTGCCGAGAGCTTCGCCATAAACGAGATGGGAAAGGGAATGAGTTTGTTGTATACAGGATGTGAAACATTGTTTTGCATACAGACAACTCACTCTCGCCATTCTGAATCGATGTTTATCATTTTAGCTGTGCCAATATTTTATCATTTCTAGTGATGAAAATTCGTATTTGATAACATTACAGCTATTGTAAATGCATTTAAAAAATGGTTGGAGCCTGTGATGATATGGACTGTTTTCTTTAATCTCTATAGTAACTTCATTAAAACTAAATTAATTCCCTATTCACAAATTAAATCTTATTTACTCACGAAACAAGTAAGTTGTTAAAACAAAATTTCGTTGTGATTAAATTGGTACGCATTATATCTATGAATAAATATAAAACGGTCGGGTTAATTTGCATTTCTCTTAAACCTAAATAAAAAAAATCTTCTAAAATACTGTTGATAAACAAAAAAAGTAAACGCCAAAGTAATGAGCAACTGTTTCCCTTGCAGTATTACCATCCAACTTTGGTAATTGCATTAATCTATGCACTTTTGCATATCATTAATTATGGATATGTAATTTATAAATTTAGTGATTTGTTTATTAATTATTTTGCAAGAGGTTGGCCTTCAGCTTGTAATACCCACTAGAATTTGATTAAAATACTAGCGTTTGATGAACATAAAAGCATTTTCTTTTAGTTTTACTAAATGTCTAATTTTATAATTTTATCGTTTGTTAACTTACACCAACATGACGTATGCACAAGAAATTGGTTAAAAGTTTATGTCCTTTATTATTAAAGTGATCTACCCATAAAATGTACAATTGTTGTTTAGGGACTATCCTGTTATGATACAGGCTTATAAGAGTCACAGAGTGTATACGAGTAAATTGGGCAACGCAAGAAAAAATATATCTATTTCTTGATTTAAAGCAAATAGTACAAGAGAAATACAATATTGCTTGTTTATTGTTCCTTGCCTACCATTTCTATACTGGCATCAATCAGTTTTTCATTTTAGCTTCTCCAAAATGTATCCGGACGAAGGCTTTAAATAGCACACAGTTTACCAATACAAGTTTGAGTGAGTTGATCCTCATCAACTTCACGATCCAATTGGTCCATCTGGCCTTGGTCCATTACTAAACTAGCAACCAGAAGCTACCTGCGAGTTGATATTGGTTGATCCTCATCAACTTCACGATCCAATTGGTCCATCTGGCCTTGGTCCATTACTAAACTAGCAACCAGAAGCTACCTGCGAGTTGATATTGGTTGATAGATATAATATCCACACGATGAAGTATTTTCCCACAGTTTACACTGTAAATTCCCAGTAATATTTTTAGTTGGCTTGAAATCATATAAAATTGGGACATCTTTCGGATTTCAACAATAAAAAACAATGAACCTTTAACAGAGTTTTTATGTTATTGTGTTTTCCTTCTTCAATTATTTTACTATCAAAATTGTTATTGTTTTTATATAGACGATTTACCACAAAGGCTTTTACAATGTAAATTCAATATATTTTATTGTATTTATAATGATTAATCAATAATCATCCTTCTACTAGAGAAGGACAAACCTGCTATTCTAAGCTGTTCTACCACTTTTGCCAAGGGAACATTTATTTTTAGGATTATAAGGGTTAAGCCAATGTATCAAGAAACTTAAAACCCAGCTCATCTCATTTTGTTTGAAAATCTCTCTACCGTTTTACAAGTTTGCGAAAACAAGCTAGTCTATATGCAAACACGCGTTACACGAATGAGATTGTTGGTGTTGAAACGACTGGCCCATCCTCGTTAGTCGGGTCGGGTATCTCGCAGTCGTTCACAGCAAATGGTTGTCATATAAACTCGTCATATTTATAATACGTACATTCAAACAGAGTAGGGATGAACAAACAGAAATTATTTAAAATGATTACGTTATTATTTTTTTATTTCTCAATTATGGCTGTGTATTATTTTGTTTTCTCATTTCGAACCTTTACATTTTTCCGCTTACGATGATACTTTTTAAAGATTAATTTTATTAATTGAGAATGTTTTCCAATAAAACTACTAGTATGTAAATAGTTAAATTGCATTTTATTTACTTATTATTTATATACTTCTATATAATCAAAAATATTATCAGAACAACGATTACTTATCATATAAAAGCTAATACAACAAACGTATAAAATATTAGTACAACATTACAAATAATTTTAAAACAATATTATAAAACTAAAACTGCAATAAAATAAAAATATTTACAAACACCTCAATATTTATGTATAAAAAAATATTTAAATCTTCTAACAAAAATAAAAATGGATTTTTTTGGATATAAAAAATCTGGAATTCACTTACCTAACTAAATGTTCCTAAAATTATTCAATAGATTTTTTAAAAATGTTAATATCTAGTACGGTAAATGTTCCATGGACTAATGGTGGTGGTTCACTAATTAACTATGGTCAATAATGGATACACAGTGCATAAATTAGTTTACTATTCGATAACCTAATTATTTGGCTAGTGTACTAAATGTGTTTTACAACCTTAACCTATAATCATTGAAAAAAAACTATATTTTTGTGTATAATAGAAGTTATTTTATGAACTTAAACAAAAAACTTACATAGATAAATACTGAACAAACACTTATTAATCTAATGTTGAACTGATATACTCATCCATCACAGTATGCCTAGTCTGAAATATTATCCTCTCACAGCAGTTTATAACAAATATAAGCAACTGACACAAAGTATACACCATATTTCTGAAGATATTTGCTAACCAAGGTGCAATCGATTCGCAAATTCAATATTTCCTCGATAAAGACGATTTTAAATTATTTCACATCTATACAGCTTAACAAAGGACATATTCACTTCTCAATGCGATCACAATACTCGGGCTCAGGTACTCGCAAGATCTAACATGTCAGCAGACGTCATATTTAACGCACTGTTAGCTCGCTTACAGATCAGTGATTGTATTGCTCAGGCTGTTACGTCAGCGTATCTTCCTTGGAGTCAAACTCTCGGATGACGAACTGTAACTTGTTGATGGCGGCCGTGACGTCATCGTCAGTGATGTTACAGCACAACACCATCCTCACCTCCGTGGCAGAGATTGTGAACAGTTTGATAACACATGGATTCTCCTCACCGAAGAAGTCTAGCTCCTCCTTCGTCACCTGGTCAACAATTAATTGCTATTGTAAGACACGTTTAGATTATATAGTCCAGGACCTAACTAGGGTTCTGTGTGCATGTCGTGTATAGAGAATTTTGCTTTTGCATTTCAATATAGGTGTCTTAGGAAGTGTTTTCCACTCGGGTGTCAAGTTCACACCTGGTACGTTTTCGAGCTATGACGTCATCAAAATGGCGGCCATTGATTTTTTTAAATCGTATATTTCGCAAACTATTTGTCGGATCGGAATGAACTTTTTTTTGTTTGAAAGATAATTTTAAATGCTACCTGTTTTAAATTTACACATTTGTTGAACACATAGTGGAAACATTCTTATGGACTAATTACATTGATTTGTTGTGCTTTTATTTGCATAAAAGAAGGTAATGGTCTTATTTTAAGTAAAATAGTTGGTGAAATCGTAACATGTAGCAATTTTAAAGACATCATAACCGGAAACTGCAGTGGGCCCAGACGTGACACCAGAGTTAAAAACACTTCTATAGACACATACATCAACATTGAATGGCAAAACTGTCTATATATGACTCGAACACAGCCATCGATGTCGGATTTATATGCGTTTTTGCGCCGAATTAGGTACAAAACATTGGGTTTTGTACGATTTTTCTAGTTTCTTGACGTGATCCTTTGAGTAAAGCATATCGAATTTGGTATTTTTGTAAAGCTCGTTTAACGTGCTACAAATTTGTCTATAAGTTATTTCTGATATATTGTATCAATAAAACGTTATCGACAAAAATAACACAAAAATGTTTAATATAATAGGTTTTTGCAAAATTACGAAAAATGTACTAAACATACAACAAAAATGTAAATGTAAGAAAGATAGCATGTAAACTTATCTTTCAAACAAAAAAATGTCCATTCCGATCCGATACATGGTATGTAAAATATAGTTATATTTAATATAGCCCTTTCCGCCATTTTAATGACGTCATAACCGGAAACTGCAGTGGGTGCAGACGTGACACCCGAGTTGAAAACACTTATTTAGACACATACATAAACATTGAATGGTAAAACTGTCTTTATAAGACTTGCGAACTGCCCTAGATGCCGGACTAATAGGCGTTTGTGCGCCAAAATTGGTGTTTTTATGAGATTTATCTAGTTTCTTGACGTAATCTTTTGAGTAAAACATATCGAATTTGGTATTTTTGTAAAGATTTTTAAACGTTCTACAACTTTTTTCATTGGTGATTTTTGATAAATTGTATCAATAAAACGTTACAAACAAAAATAACACAAAAATATTTAAAATACAGGTTTTTGCAAAATTACGAAGAATGTACTAAACATACAACAAATGTGTAAATTTAAAACAGGTAGCATTTAAAATTATCTTTCAAACAAAAAAAGTTCATTCTGATCCGACAAATAGTTTGCGAAATATACGATTTAAAAAAATCAATGGCCGCCATTTTGATGACGTCATAGCTCGAAAACGTACCGGGTGCGAACTTGACACCCGAGTGGAAAACACTTCCTAAGACACCTATATTGAAATGCAAAAGCAAAATTCTCTATACACGACATGCACACAGAACCCTAGTCAGGTCCAGGACTAATATCATTAAACTAGTAAAGCAATTATATCAATACGATTATTATGGTGACTATTTCATAATCATAAGCGGCATTAAATTGCATAAAATGTGAACCATGTAAGAAGTTATATATAGCTGTGATTTTTCAGTAAGAGAATTAAATAACAGCTTTTAATGAAGTAAAGCAGTATTTTGTAAGCAGGGAAGTAGTATTTGTAGCAGTAGGGAAAAGTTAGTTAATGTGCTTAAAGCTTGATACAGATATCAGTAAATACTATTTTATTAGTTTACATTTGTAGGACTCGAACTGTATTCTCAAATTATATAGGAATCTAAAATAACTTTCATTTTTAGTTTCACATGACTAATCCGCCCTCGCATTTAAAAATAGTCTGAATATATAAAAATATACCCTTTTTTAAATACTTTTTTTAATCTTTAAGGTTTGTAATAAGTATACTAGTAATATTTTCTAAACTATCAAATGTATTACCCTTGATTAAACAGTTTGTTGGAGAAATATGAGAATAATCTGGTTGACAATATATAAACTTAGTATAGATTACCCTTAAACTTACTACTGTATTACTTAAACATTAAGTATAGGTATATTTATTATTTTGTTACAATAATCATAACCATGTGCTAACAATAATCACCTTGTACAGCCTATGACAGAAATCAGATGCCGTCAGCAAAGGAGTATTAAAGTTCATGAACACCATGTTGGATTGTACTCTGTCCAAGTCAAGAGATATGAGGCGAGTTCCGGTAGACACGATTGCTAAAACATAAAATACATTAATGGCAATCATAAGGCTAATTCAAACGCTCTACAATAACATATTTCGCCTCATACAATATTATGACGGATAGCCTGGATCGAAACAATTGAAATATCATTTTTTAAGTATTTAAGTTGTTTAGTATTCTGTAAATGCATGTTTAAATGGGTTTATTATTGTAACATACTAATGTATTATTTATAAGTATTGTATAATTGTTATAAGAAAATAATACTAAAGTAAAGTCGTTCTTGTTGTATTAAATGTTTTTATAAATTAAATCAATAAGCATGTTTGTAATATGTTTTATCTTCAAAGTAAAAAATATTAAGCAATTAGTTGTATTGATGATTATATTCAAGATGCCTGAGAATATTTCTATCTCTATTTGTGCAACATTGTAATATAGTAATAGAGCAACAAGAGTACAAAAACACGATTAAATATTAAACCTCTTTATTTTTATTTTTTTATTATTATTTCTTTATGATCGAAAAACTTTACCAATAATGTATTATGATGTAGGTAAACACCAAAACCTCTAGAAGTTAGATTGAAGTGTAAAGCAATGATCTGATATATAAATGGGCAATGGTTAACCTTGAGCTATTTTCTTGGCTCGCTGATGGTCCACTGGTAGTCTCTGCACCATGTGTTCCAATGCGTACATTCCTGCAGCAGCGACAACACCTGCTTGTCTCCATCCGCCACCAAGCACCTTCCGCAGCCGCCGGGCCCTGGTAAAACATGCCTCAGTATAAAACCAGCTTATGGCATGAGCTGCAGCAGCGACAACACCTGCTTGTCTCCATCCGCCACCAAGCACCTTCCGCAGCCGCCGGGCCCTGGTAAAACATACCTCAGTATAAAACCAGCTTATGGCATGAGCTGCAGCAGCGACAACACCTGCTTGTCTCCATCCGCCACCAAGCACCTTCCGCAGCCGCCGGGCCCTGGTAAAACATACCTCAGTATAAAACCAGCTTATGGCATGAGCTGCAGCAGCGACAACACCTGCCTGTCTCCATCCGCCGCCAAGCACCTTCCGCAGCCACCGGGCCCTGGTAAAACATACCTCAGTATAAAACCAGCTTATGGCATGAGCTGCAGCAGCGACAACACCTGCTTGTCTCCATCCGCCACCAAGCACCTTCCGCAGCCGCCGGGCCCTGGTAAAACATACCTCAGTATACAAACAGCTTATGGCATGAGCTGCAGCAGCGACAACACCTGCTTGTCTCCATCCACCACCAAGCACCTTCCGCAGCCGCCGGGCCCTGGTCAAACATACCTCAGTATACAAACAGCTTATGGCATGAGCTGCAGCAGCGACCACCCGCTTGTCTCCACCCGCCACCAAGCACCTTCCGTAGCCGCCGGGCCCTGGTAAAACATACCTCAGTATAAAACCAGCTTATGGCATGAGCTGCAGCAGCGACAACACCTGCTTGTCTCCATCCGCCACCAAGCACCTTCCGCAGCCGCCGGGCCCTGGTAAAACATACCTCAGTATAAAACCAGCTTATGGCATGAGCTGCAGCAGCGACAACACCTGCTTGTCTCCATCCGCCACCAAGCACCTTCCGCAGCCGCCGGGCCCTGGTAAAACATACCTCAGTATACAAACAGCTTATGGCATGGGATGTTTAGAATTCACATCGCAATTAGGCTCAGCAAAACAGTTTTATGAATTGCAATACTATTTTACAATATGCAACATTAGTATGAGCTCGTACAAGCTATCTAGGAATCTTATGGGCCGAGTTTTTTAATAGGTCTACATGTTTAAAAAAATGTCAGAACATGTTACTCAGAATTTGTGTTATGTCACAGAACAATAGATAGAACATGAATGATTCACTCCTTTTAGCGAATTCTTCATACAGGAATTTCCCCCGCCGCATCAAACCTACAGAGTAAGCGATTTTGTATTTGCCTGGTTTGATTTGAACTCAAATATATCCTTAAAGCTGTCAGATTCATACCCAATAAAACTATTAAGTTCAATAAGTAATTATGTTTGTAGATAAACATAAAACATAAAGTGATCATAAACATAAAACATAAAACATAAACATAAAGTGTGTGTTTTTGGTAAAATATTGATATCTTAGTATGACAAATTATGATAAAACCATATCCATATGCAAGCAAACTACACCACTTAACTTACTCTACATAGGAATAACATAGGTAACATAAATGACCTTCCTCTTTAAATTATCTGTGTATCAATTTAAAACAAAAAAATGCATCGATAAAATCAATTATTCGTTTTTTGGGGCTCTGCAAAATGGCTTTGGACGAAATCGCATAGTTTACGTTCTTAGAGTCAAACCTGGGAAACCCCCATTTTAACCCACAATATTTAATTAGCCAAGCAAATTATGCATTCTTTGTAAACTAGTGTACATGTTGCTCGAATTCGAGCAATTGCAAAGTATTACAGGAGTTATTTCAAAACGAATAACAGTCATATTTACAATGAGTTTAAAAGAGTCAACTCAAAGATTACCGGCGTGTAACTCAGAACACGATTATCTTCGTTATTGATAAACCGAACCGGCCAAAAGAATTCCGGCCGGTTTTCTCCTTCTCAAAATGCCCCGATGTACAGGCAACACAGGTCATTGATAGATGGCCAATTGAAAACGAAAAGTCGTTTTGGATTAGTGTTAGGGTGCATTTGTAACCTAATAGTTGAGATTGTCCAGGGTCAGGTGCTGACTGTGATGATTTAAGCCTATTACGCGCCACTGTTCTGTAGCTGCGGTCGTTATCACGATTACGCCTCCTGTCTACGTTTCGTTGTTGTCGCGTCAGAGGCATTTAAAAGAAAAAAAACAACAAATAAACAAATTATAGCTACACAAAATAACGATAAATTCAGAAATTTAAGTTACAATCGTGCTAACACGACCCGTCGTAGCGGCACAAAACGACGATAAATATACAAATTTAAGATACAACCATACTAACACGATCCGTCTTGGGGGTTATAGTCTAGGCATATTAGGAAAGTTAGCAGAAAGTTTAGGTACAGTCCTAATCATCACTTTCCTTTATGTTTTTTGGGTCGCTGAACACGAATATGAGGTTTGCTGACAGATATTTTGCCCGGAACATTGGTTATTTTGTGAAAAACCTTAAAATTTGGGCACTTTTTTTGGTTTTTCGGGCAAATCTCGGTAAGTATGGGTTTTTGAGAAAATCCTGCTTTGTAAAATTGAAGATGACAAAATTTACTACAAGTTTCCTATATAATGTTTGTTTCTATGACGAACCGTTTCGCCACTAGAGCACACTAAAAAAGGCCAGAAGTACAAACAATTAAAAACATTGCTAAATGCTGCCGTTTTACATTAGGTTTCCATAGAAACAACCCATGTTACGATTATTTTAACTATTAATTCATGATAACAAACTGATACACACTTAAAAATACCCCCGCCACAGCAAACCTGCAGACTAAGCGAAATTCCATTTCCCTGATTGGATTTACACTAAAATGTCTCCTTATAAATATCACATTTATACCCTATTTAAATAAAAGTTTAACCAGTACTTAGGTTTTCTGCAACAGGGAGGGTAAAAGGTGTTTTTTGTAAAATGTAAAAATTTGGGATGAAATTAATGCATTGTCTAAATTTGATAAGAATAACATGGGCATTGTAAATTTACAGATTTTTGGAATTTTCTCCGTAACCATTAGGCGCATAACAACGCTTTAATATACTAAATTATTTGTTTTTTTTAAGCTCTACAAAACGTGATGGAAATAAATCGCTAAATTTTAAGTTTATAGGGTCAAAAATAGGAAAAACAAATTTTTACCCCATAAACCCCCCCCCCCCCCATAAATCTCTGTTCCCATAGTCCGATCATGCTGGTTTGCGAACTCGTTCGAATAGACGTAGACACGGTCTACTCGTCTGAATTTGACGTTACCAAAGTTAAAAGTTATCTACAACTCTTTTAATGTATTTCATCCTTTTTTCACTATAGCAGTCAACCCTGTGGCCAGCAACATCCCTGTGCAGAGAAAATAAATGGGGGTTTTGTGGGAACGGGAAATGTTCCAGCAGTCAGTCATACATCTTGGCATAGATTTATTAAGTGTGTTTCAGTTCATTATCATGAATAAATAGTTCTAATTATCGTAACATGGGTTGTTTCCATGGAAACCCAATGTAAAACCTTTGTAAAACGGTTAGGGTTTATTTTCATTTTTTGTTTTGCCCAGCATGATCGGACTATGGGAACAGGGATTTATGGGGGGTTTTATGGGGTAAAAATTAGTTTTTCCTATTTTTGACCCTATAAACTTAAAATTTAGCGGTTTCTTTCCATATCATTTTTTAGAGCTTAAAAAAACAAATAATTTAGTATATTAAAACGTTGTTATGCGCCTAATGGTTACGGAGAAAATTCCAAAAATCTGTAAATTTAAAATGATCATGTTATTCTTATTGCGACTAAGTAAACTGTTGTAGTTTGCTTGTTTATGAACATATTTTGATCAAATTTCATGTACCAAATTATTAAATTTTACAAAAAACACCTTTTTACCCTCCCTGTTGCAGCAAACCTAGGTACTCGTTAAACTTTTATTTAAATAGGGAATAAATGTGATATTTCTAAGGAGACATTTTAGTGTAAATCCAATTAGGGAAATGGAAATTCGCTTAGTCTGCAGGTTTGCTGTGGTGGGGGTATTTTTAAGTGTGTTTCAGTTTGTTATCATGAATAAATAGTTAAAATTATCGTAACATGGGTTGTTTCCATGGAAACCTAATGTAAAACAGCAGCATTTAGCAATGTTTTTAATTTTTTGTACTTCTTGCCTTTTTTACTGTGGTGAACGGAAACGGTTCGTCGTAGAAACAAACATTATATAGGAAACTTGTAGTAAATTTTTGTCATCTTTAATTTTACAAAGCAGGATTTTCTCAAAAACCCATACTTACCAAGATTTGTCCGAAAAACCAAAAAAAGTGCCCAAATTTTAAGGTTTTTCACAAAATAACCAATGTTCCGGGCAAAATATCTGTCAGCAAACCTCATATTCGTGTTCAGCGACCCAAAAAACATAAAGAAAAGTGATGATTAGGACTGTACCTAAACTTTCCGCTAACTGCCACTTATATTCCTAATATTCCTAGCCTATTATGTTTACACAAACTCAAATATTGAATTGAAAAATAAATAACAGCAATTAAATTATACAGCTGATCAAAATGTGAACAATTATGTTCTTCATAAAGATAACATGGGAACTTTCAAAGCCACTGGGGCAGAGTCCAAGGGACTTTTTCAAAATTGAAGGCCAGTTTGCAAATCTACGCGACACGCTCTTTCCAATGAGACGTCAACGGATAAAATCGGTTAAGAAATGGCGGAGGAGTTTAACCGACAAAGTTTCATGTAGCGTATTAATTATATAGATATATTCTTACAAATTATATTGTTGCATACAGATACCGAAATCAAGCAGGGCGTTTAAATTGGAAATAATAATTCTCATACCAAATCTTGAACTTTGTTTAAGAAATGAACGTTACTTCATATCCTTGACCTAATTGTTAATAAGCAGGACATTAATGATCTAAAACTACACAAAAAAAAACTACATTTACTACGGCGAGTTTCAATAACAGGAAACCTACTTGTCAATGAAAGCTTTGTCACCGACCAACATGGATCCAATGGGAGCCCCCAAGCCTTTGCTGAGGCAGACTGAGACGGAGGAGAAGTCTTTGCAAAGCTCGGCCACCGAGACTTCACTGCTGAGTGCAGCGTTGAACACCCTCGCTCCGTCCATGTGTAAAGGGATCTTGGTGTCATGGGATATCTTGGCTAGCTGCAGTAGGATATACATGTATCTTTAGTTTACAATTTTTTGAAGAATTGTAAGGATTTAGAGAGCATGAAACGATATAAACAATAGACAATAGACATACATACACTTAGACATGCATAGACTTATTAATGACGATAACGATTATTATATTGTCTAAAAAAATCAAGGATAGTTAATTGTGTTGATAGTTTTTACTTTTGCAACATATAATCAACGAATAATTGTTTTTTTTTTTTTTTTTTTTAAATTCGACAATCTCTTTGAAACACAATTATTATGTTCATTTTTATGTTAATTTAATATTGAACACTGTCACAATATGGACCAGGTTGAATAATGGAAATTACAATTGTCTCAACGTCACACGACGTGCAAAATAGTAGTGTTAAAATACAAGCCTTTGGTTAAAGTCCATTGAAATTAAAGGTAGTAACAAAACATTGTTGGCAGACAAACAAAAAACTGTAAGGGTATATTAATCTATATATTAATTTGAAACTGTTTTTCTTTGTCATAGCTATTTTGAGAGAACCGGGTGTAGAAACTCGGTAGAGGTGTCTAAAGAAAGGTCTTGGTCTGCAGATGAGCCATCAAAAGAGAAAACTGGTGAATTCCCTTAGGGCTCTGCCCCAATGGCCTTTAAATTCCCATCCCATGTTATTCGTATGGAGGAAAACGGGGTTTTTGTCACAGCTAATTTGAGAGAACGGCTGGGCGTAGAAACTTGGTAGGGGTCTCTAAAGAAAGGTCTTGGTCTGTAGATGGGCCATCAAAAGAGGAACGAGGTAAATTCCCTTGGGGCTTTCCCCAGAAGCCTTTAAAGTTGCCGCTTCAGATTTGTTTACATTACGACCATATATGCATAATTCTACACTACTTTTTAATGAAACAGCTGTTAATATTTAAATTGTGATTTATTGAATTTGTCAAAATGAAGTAGCAGAATATGGTTTATGTTACCTTGCCTGAATGATCCTATGTAGTTGTCAAACACGACAGCTGTTTCGTGCTACAATGAGCACATCTTCAAAGTGAAGAAACACAAAATCAAATCATTTCGCCCGCGGTTGAGCACGTCAAAAAACACATAAAGTACACGAAGTTCACACAAAAATACATAATACAAACACTTGGCCAAGTACCGCGAACACGCGACGCGGCGCCGGTAATGTGTAGGTCATGACTCAGAAGATGTGCTCATTGTAGCACGAAACAGCTGTCGTGTTTGACAACTACATAGGATCATTCAGGCAAGGTAACATAAACCATATTCTGCTAATTTTAATGATCCAGAGGCTATCCATCATGAAAATGAAGTACAGTATTTGCAATGGGTTTTTCTGATTGATATATTGGATTTTCTTCTGCATCGTGTCATGTTTTGCAATATAATGTTCTATTCCCAAATCAGTGGAAAATCATAATATCACAGTAACTTTTAAAATGATTTCTTATGGAGTTAACTTATATCTATTGTATGGGTTGGTTTCTGCCTTTTTTACCACTTATTGGAGATTGTACGTAGGTGATATTCTTTGGCATATTGCATGTGTAGACGAAACTTGGGTTGGTGTAATTATTACAATGGAAAAGAGTGAGAAATCCTGGACAATTTGATATAGGCTAAAAATAAAACTGTATTAACACTGTGCTACATTTCTTGAGCAATCATTGAAATAACCGATTTGCAAACAATGGAAACATAGAAAAAGTCATAGAACACAACCCCGTAGAAGAAATAGAAATAATGTTTTTTTTACACTAAAAACACGAAAAAAAACAAGATTAGCTTTTTGAAAAAAGATAAGATATTTACAAAAGATTTTGATTATATCTAACTGTTGTGTGGATCGTGAGTATTTCCATCATCTTTGAGTCGCCTGTAATGCTTCGCAATTGCTCGAATTCGAGCAACAGGTACACTAGTATATTATTAGTTAGAGTTTCCACTCACCCTCTGCAGCCATGGTAGAGGAAGAGCCCGGCCACCACACCAGTTGTGTGTGTTCTCCACACATATGAGTGCTGTCTGTGTGGTGTGGATGTTAGACCCATCCCTCAGCTTGGACATCATCTCCTCTAGACTCCAGGTGCCATCTGGTTGGTTGGCAACCGCCGTCATCTGCACACCTGCCACCTGCGCGACATCACAAGAATAGAGGATGGGACGGGATGTGGTGTAAACTGTATTAAAACTACTGATTTGTAAACACTTTTGAATTGAATTATGCGTTGAGCTATTATTGGTATTAATAATCAATGCAAATGTCTGCAGTACAGTAGTTACCTGCGCTGCACCTGACTGCTCCCACAGTAGCATGTGACTCTTGTCTCCCACCACCACTTCACAGCCTCGTCGGTCACAATGTGCCATCACTGAGGAAAGGTACACAATACACATACGTTAGACTGTGGCGGAAGTAATATATTGTAAGCGGTGATAAATAACACTCATCCAAAAATAAACCTTTCCATATTACCTGGAGCGAACCGGTTTCTATACATGTGGTTTTACTTTATTAGCCTACGTTTCAGCGAAAACTGAGGGTCATTTTGTCTTCCTTGAAGCACACGCTGTTCATAGGTTTACATACATATTTTGAAACTGTATCTTTTCATCCTAGGGGCCTTAAAACGAAACACAATAAAACGCCAGATGGTCCGGCTTTATGGTGTTACCATTAATACTACCAGTAATAGCTATTTTCCCTGTTAGGAAATTCCTAAAAATGTCAAAACGAAAGATGTATTTCCCTGAATGTGTAATTTGTGTTTTAGAGCAAAATTCACCCTTGAGGATTCACCCGATTGCCTTTAAAACATTAATTTTTAGAATTTTCCATTATTTGTCATACCAGCTGTTTTAACTACTTGAGTGATATAAAGTTTAACATCATTACTATTTCGATCAAATTTAGTACAATGATTCACAAAAACAAACATTTAACGAATTTGAAACGATTAATTAAGCTATTACGTTTACTATTATGAAGCATGAATAGTTATGAAATGTTAATTTAACAAAAGTAAAAAGCTAACTTTAAGAATATGTTAAGGGTAATGTAGGCCCCTACTGTATGCATTTCGCATTAAAATACAGTATTGGTGATAACCATTTTCTACCATATTGATATTCCTACGTGTAACCTATTATATTAAGACAACTAATAAAAATATACTATGCCTGAAAAAATATACTATAAAAATTTAAGCTTTCTTCACACTGTTCACTGTACAAAAGTTAGTTTTCTGTTGTACCTTTAGTTACATGACATAAAATAATAGTTGTATAGCAGCCCAGCAAGATGTGAGCCTTAGCATATTACAGAACTTACGTGCTATTAGGTTCCCCATTGTTCCACTTGTTAAGAAGATGCTGGCCTCTTTATTAAATATATTAGCAGCTAACGCCTCCAAAGCTGTAACACAAATAAATAAAAGCAGTTTTATAATACGTTTGGTTTTTTTTTTGTTTAACTTTTCCTGAAAGTATTCATTATAAGGATTTGAAAGAATCTAATTTCAAAAGACGTTTAACTTATTTCGACCTTTTATCCTACAACAGTTTAAGTCAGACAGTAATAATGCTGTGTTGCTATTTATATCTCAAAGTCTTAGAATATACTTCAAAGAAATAAAAGTAATTTCACTGAGTTTATCGATTTATTTTGAGATTAATTTGTTTTAAATGAGTGTAAAGGAAATCTGAAAAAAGAATAACTTGCCTTCAAGACTTATCCACTTTACCCTTTAACCGTAGATGCATTAGCAAAAAGTAGTTATCTTAATTGTCAATACAAAAGATATGAATGTATGGTGTGATGAATGACCTCTAAGCTATCAAAAGATTACCAGGGGCGTGTCTAATGATTGTAGACCAAGGATTAGTGCACAATACAAGTGATATTCTATCGTCATGTTTTTGTATTCTAACTGTTGAAATTATCGCTATAAATTTCTTTACTGTGATTGTTAACATCTAAAATGTGTAGATGACTTAACTAAACAGCATAAGAAAATGTCCTTGCACATTCTTGAAATAATCGATTTGAGAATCACAAGCATGGTATTTTGCACTTTGTTTTGAAACTACAACTGACCGTTGACAGTTGTGTCCTCTCCCATGACGTCATCGCCTACCTCAGCGTTGTACATCGCTCTTCTCATGGCGTCCGTGGGCTTGGACACAGTATCACTACGGAAGTCTACTACTCTGACCTAGAGCAATAAATCACAGCTTACTTGTATTTATTATAAGTGAAACATACAGTGGATTTTGTACTCATAAAGGATATGTATGTTGAGCTCTTAACTAATGTTGGTTCTATCAGTTATCATAACCTGTTTTATACAGTGGTCTACTGCATTTAATGCAGACTTTGATCTTATTAAGAAAAATGTTTTTTTCTACTCAAAATTAAATACGTTGAGGATTTAATAAAGTATTAAAGATGAAAAGTGTTATAAAAAACCCCATCACAGCAAACCTACAAACTAAGCTAATTCCCATATGCGTGATTGGGTTTGATCTTAAACGTTTAAGATTTTATTCCCTATCAGAAAACACGTTAGTTTTAACGGCTTGCTGCTTCTATAGAGAGCGTGTTGATTGTTAATATGTTGTTAGCTTAGTATGAAATAAATAGATAAGACAAATTTGATCAAAGTATGTGGATAAACAATAAAACTACAATGTTCAATTAATCTTCAAAAGAATAATACTGGCATATTAATTATAAGGTTTTCAAAAATCTGCTCATTAAATAATAAATAGAGATAGTTTTTTTTAATAATATCTTAATTGGCCTATTTAATGAATGTTTCAGACAAACGGTGAACGATCATGTTAGCCAAAGTGCTACAATTTTTTGTCGGGAACATGGACTGACAAAGTAATCATTGCGAAAGTAGCATTGTGACCCTTCAAAGTAATATAAAACTAGTACGTCAAGGACAATATCTGTGTTTCTATAAAAGAAAAGTAAGTTTGAAGAATATGACTACACCCAAGAAACCTTTATTAAAACTTCCATTGAAGGATTTAACTATTAAAACCTAAGGGAAAGAAACCACCTAAACAACAATATCAGTGGCCTTTTCAACCTGCATTTTATCAGGTAAATATAATTTACGTTACTGTATAATAGCAACCCACTAAAATTATCTCAATTGAGGCAAATAAATTGTGAATGGCACATAATGCAGGAAATCGGGGCTTTTTGAGTAATGTGAACAGTTTAAATCGCTATTTATGGAAAAATAACTGAAATGTGTGAACATACAGTTGACAATGGTGGTTTTATTTTAGGCTATATTATCAATGACTCCTTAATGCGGCTAAGTGTGAGTAGGCAAATATTTTAGAAAAAAACACAAAAAAGGGTCAGCTTCCGACAAAGGAACAACTATTTACAAGAAAAGTTAATTATATTGAACTGTAAACGGTGTGAGCATATCCATTAGTTGCATAAGCTTTGAGTTGAGTTTCTCAAACCCATAAACAATTATGACTGTTATTAGCTTTGGAGTATCTTCTGTAATACTTGACAATAACTTAAACAACAGGTGGACTAGGAGTTATTATATAATATTATGTTCATCGGTCAGTCGTTAAATAAACCGAAAATTATCTGTTTTGGATTGATAATAAGTTTCAAGTAGTTAATATTTTACCTGAATTCAAAAACAAGATACTTATGTAATTTAAAGGATAACATTAAAACATGATTATCTCCTATTTCAGCATTGGAGTATTCCAGATTATAGTACTTTAAGAACACATTTACAATATAAAATTCTGTAAAAACTTACATTTTCCAACGAATGTTCGATTTGAGCCGTTTGATACATAGTTGTGAATTTGGGTTTGCCAATAAGCCGTTCTTGATGGCCCGCTGCTTCTAAAAGTGATACAAGTTTAATGTTGGCGATTCCAAAGCGTCGGCTTCTGATGACAAACATCTTGAACTTATTTTCAACTCTTTACACGAGTTACAACCACACAGTCACAATACACAGAATCACAACAGTAAACACACACTGACAGCTGTTCGACTAACCGACTGCGGAGCTGCTGACGGACTAAATATTGTTCCTTATCGGCTCTTACTCAACCGGGCTGCAGAATTGCGTCGTTGTGAAAGTTATCCATTACTAGTCCGTAGCCTCGAGCCGCGAGCGCTCACAAATAACTGTTATTAGATCAAATTGAGAACACAAGAACTTGAGATCGATCTTCTTGTGCCCAGACGTGTCCTAATCGTTACTATCACTATCAATTACCTGTTTGTAAGATCGCAAACTAAGGGAATAACTAGAGACAGTAGAATATAATAAGACACAGTAGTGTGGTGTATTTTGTGTGAAAATAAAGAATCTTCCAAGCACATGGCCGTTTAAGAATAGTATTTTACATTATTACTATTACTTTCACTATTACTTCTAACCTCCCGAGCCGTTGTTTTTAGGGTGTTTAATGTAAATAAATGCATAACTTACGAATGACGAACCATACAAAATTTTTATTCTATCTTGTATGCATTTTGTACTAATATTTTTTAAAAGTGTTCAAAATTTGGACCCCACAATAGGCCAAATTTTAGAACATTAGGTAGCGGATGTTGTATACTAGTAACTTTAAGGCTACTATTATGATATTTAGGTCATTAAAATGAATACAGTGGACTAAGATTTATATTTTCAGCTATTACAGATCAACAAATTGGTTTTAAAGTTATCACAAATTGTATGCAGATACATAGAAGAACAGAAAAAATTAAATGGTTTATTTTAGTTTCTTCTTACAAACATTTGAACGAAACAAACTCTAATAAATTGTAACTAATCGATCATATTTACATTTCTGTTTGAACAAAGGACTTAAAAAATATAAACATGACCTAGTAATACTATGCAACATTAATATATTATGTGTTTATTTTGGATTCAAAACATAAACCAAAAACAAAATTGAACCAAGCAGGAGGGTTCTGATGGATATCTATGGATATGGATATCTAATGAACTAGGAGAATAGCAATAATAACAGTTATTATAGTGGTAGTAGTAATAATATTAGTTAAAGGAGTAGTACTTGGACTACCTTTTACATAATAACGAAATCAATTCAATATAGGTCCCTTGTATACTGAATTTGAAAAAGGAAAATCTTTCGGAAATGTCAAATGGGACAAACACATACTTAAGTTTATATTTGCATAAATAGTAAACACCTATTGCTGTAGCGTTATCCTGGCATCCCAAAAGAAAATATTTAGCTATTAGAAAACCTGCCTATTTTTTTAGATCCATTATAATAAAGAGTATAATTAATCAACTTGGGGTTATAATATGCTTGAGGAAAAATATGTGATTTTAAAAACTTAAAATACATTACTTAGACTAACAAGATGATCTGACCTATTCATAGAATAACCTTGATATAAATTCTTTATAAACATGTGTCCCAAAATTGTTTACTGTTTATTGGTTTACGATAACGAATTTTAAAAACAGTGTAAAACAATAACATACTTTATTTTCACTTCACATGTTTACGTCACGGTGGTTTTTTGACACACAAAATATGTTTATCACATTTACAATACGTCACTCTTGATATGCGTAGTTATATCTTAGTCTGAAGGTAAACAGGAGTTTGCCATTAAAAGTACCACAGTAATATTTGTGATAACATTTATGTTTACGTAACGTATTTGTAACTTTAATCCAAATGGCTAATACTACTTGTAAACAATTTCAGGATTTCTTCTTCACTTATAGACTTGCCTATTGGTTCCATTTTCCAGTCACATGCCCTGTCCTAGTTCTCCTATTTAAATAACCATTAGCTACTGTTTAAATATATTCAGTCATACTAAATAAACTACTTGTCCTTTTATGAATACCTTAATATTGTACAAAAGTGTTTCCGTTTGGATTTAAAATTGTGACCAACATACGTCCTGATAGAATAACTACAGCTTATATTGTTCATAGGTACCTTGAAGACAAACTTTGAACATAGTAAGTTTTGAGTAGTGATGTGTAATTACGTTTTTGCAGTCGATGCTGATGCAGTTTTCTAACTCAAATAGTCCTTTGGCTCACGGTACACGTATCATGAGAGATAACTAAAATTTATAGAAGTTAAGTTCAAACTGTATACTTTTACAAGAAGTAACTTATATTAAGGAGTTATGTTGATTTTATATAAATAATAGCTGTCTAATGCCATGAGATATTGATGCATTGATAAAAGTAATTTAACAATTAGGCGCCGGTGGTTTCAAGCTATGCGTGGACAACTTTCACTGGTAATTTACTTATTTTTATGCAGTCAAAAATTTTTCAAAAACAATGATCATTAAAATTATGTTTTGCTTCAAAATAGCAATAATTTAAATTTGTACAACTAAAATTACTAAATACTAGATACTTGACTTTATGTGAAAAATGCAAATCTTTTAACATTTAGACGTCTATACCAAACAATATAAAGTTCAAAAATATCAAACCATAAACCACTGAGACATCACGATTTTTATTTGTAGAGACGAAGTAATATAAGGCCTTTGCTGTAGGGTTACGCCTCATTTTGCGAGTAAAAATTTGAATTCTCAGTTATTCATCAACCGAGCTTTTTGAACTTGATTTTTTTTTGGAAATTTCAAATGCTAAATAAGGTGTTCTGGGAATTTCTTTGATAAAATCGACCTTTTTTGTATAATTAGACAAGGAAATGTTTACATATGAACATTCCTATAATACAAGTACGTAGAAATAAAAGTCTGAAAAGCTACATAGTTAAACGTGTATGTCACGTGCAAGTCTAAATTATTTGGTGGTATTTCATGTTTTGTCTATTATTTCTTGTTGAATTGATATAAAATGAAGCGGTGAAGTTCAAAAGATTAGTGATAACATTTCTGATTCAATATGTTTTTCGGATGTTTAAGTTATTTGAAAGCAGTTATCATTCAATTGACCCTAGACTATGATTTAGCAGAGTTGCCATTTAGCTGAGATAAGTATTGTTACATTGATCTACTAGCATCGTCTAGACACGTGAGTTCAAGGCTACATACGAGGCTACGCATTCATTCAAGACGTAGTTAGAGGCGTAGTGGGTGTGAATCACTTACTACTTTGACCACTAAAAAGAGTTTAACTTTAACTAGTGAGTTTATGAGTCTTATTTCGTTCATATGGATTTTACTTCACCACACTTATGTACAGTAACTATACAGCACCATTAATTTTGAGTGCAATCCAAAAAATTCTAATGTAAGTTATGCTTATATTATTTTACAGGTTTCAAATCCCGCTAAATACTATAACAGTCAACCTATTTCATGTATTTCCTTGCCACATTCATCAAGGATCTCTAAGGTTATTTTCTATCTACCTTGTAGAGTTTAATTACATTTCGACCCGACCCGAGATCCATTGGAACTGTTGGATTGTGGACTCGTCCTTTGTACAGCAAGTCAAAGGGTTAACACTCCACTGACTTCTGGACATTTCGTCATTGTCAAGCAGCTGCCTATAAATTAAATGCCAACTTGCAATGCTCAAATAAATACAGTATGATTAAAATAATCACGTGACTTTAAATTTGGATTTACGTTACATAATATAAATTATTTAGATTGGCATATTATTTGTGTAGATTTAAAATTTAAAACATAAATACCTATAAACACCCTTTACTTATACTTTGTATTCCTGGTTTATAACTCATTTAGTGTGTCTTCTGTATTTAAAGCTGTAGGCATGTTCATTGCCAAGAGATCATCATTTAAATGTTCCATTACTATCAATAAACTAAAAAAATCATGTAATTTGACACAAACCATACAACTATTTAGTATTTTGTGTAGAAAATACTCCCTTTACAACAAATCTACAGACTAAGCAAATTTATATTTTACTAGTTGGATTTTAACAAAAATATCTAAAAAACAAGTAATTATTTAAATTACATAATATTTAAAAATTATTATGTTTGCTGCTACGGGTAAGGGAAGTAGCGTTAACTATACAAATTTATAGTTTATCATATGAATGCCGTGAAATTGTTAAGGTCTCCATAAAAGTTGTAATGGAAATATGACATATCCATGTTTCAATGGTATTTCAATGTAGGCTATCAGAAAAACAATGTTTGTATTATATCAAAATCCTATAACATCCAGTTTTCACTATTCGGCCTACCTTGTATGAAAACTTATTCAGTTATGACTATAATATTGTGGTATAATTACCTCGTCAAGTAATCCAAATGATGTGTTAGGCTAAAAACCTACATGTTTCGCCGTTAATACGGCATCGTCAGGGTACAAACACAGTAAGACATTGCTGTCACACGCATACAATAAATAAATAACACGAAACGAATTACGAACATAACATTTAGATAGGCCTATCACACGACGCGGACGGTCCCGGCGCAGGTAGTAGACTGCAGCGTCAGACTCCTTGCTCATTGTTGTCCACGTTATCAGCAGGACAAAGGTCAGGTGGTCGGTTACTTTGGTTTATTAAAACATTGAAGATGGAGTGTGAACGAAACTGTAGTTTTTCATTGAGGATATGTCCACTTGCGGTGTTGTCATTGTATAATTTGTATATTTCAAATTCCTCAAGCGTGTTTAATTTACTACCTTTTCTACATACATGTAGCACCTCTAGACCGTCAGCAATCCCACTCATATTATGGTTTAGGTCAATCAAATGTTGGGCGAACGCTGAATTCTGTTTGATTGAACGTGGTTTGGGCCTGTGTTCATTGTAACGAGTAACGAACCCACGACCTGTTTGACCTATATATTGGCTTGGACAATCTTGGCATTTAATTTTATAAACACCTGTCATTTCAATTTTCTCTCTTGTTTTGTCAGTCTGTGACAGGGTATTGCGAGTACGATTTGTGGTTTTGAATGTTAATTCTATTCCCTGCCTACGAAGCTCTTTGGATAGGCAATTTTGTAATGTGTGGGAAAATTCAACACAAACGTACTTCTTACGCTCGTCCAATTGTTTGACCTTCCCTTTGTGGTGTTTGGTTATAAGTTTGTC